AACAAACAGATCCCTATTTTTCGTCATATTGGTATCCCATGACTGACAGGTGGATAGAGGCAGTCCCTCTAACTGAAATAAATGCGCAGAAAGTCTCTACTGCTTTCATTAACACGTGGGTATCCAGATTCGGAGTATCCTTACATATTGTCAGAGTTAGCTCCTCCTCAACTCCTTAACCCTTCACCAGGGGTCTCTCTCCCCTGGCTATAAATACTTGGTGACCCTTCGCCTCTTCCTCTTTTTTCTCATGCGTTCAGCCTTATACCAACTCGCAGATGTAAGCTCTCACAGATACAGCGTTTCCCAAATGCTGGGAACACGCTAAGAACAATACACGTACGTAGGAACACTCACCACAACACACACACACATAATATTCACCACACTCACTCTGTCCATGTAACTGTCCATGTAACTTGTAACCTTTCTTGTTATTAATACATATATTTGTTTACATATATTTATCGGTCTTGTGTTTGTTTTTCCTTGTCTTCTTTGGACTTAATTAAAGTCCAACTTTCTCATGTAGTTGGACCGGCTAGCAGGAAAATTTAACTCACATGTGTTTCACATGGCGAAACATAGTTTTCACATGTTTCGCCACGGTCCGCTACATCATCATCGCTGATAGAGGTAGTCAGTTTGAGTCGGAGTTGCTTTCAAAACTATCAAAAATTATTGGCTTTCATAGACTAAAAACAACTTCGTACCATCCTCAGATGAACAGATTGATTAAATGAGCACACAGAACGCTAAAAACAGCGATGATTGCAAGGAAAGAATCATGGCTATCAGTTCTACCTATTGTACTCTTAGGTATCAGAATTACACCCAACGAATCATCTTACTCACCATATGATGGTGTGTAATGCGTAAAGTTCCGAGACTTTTAATAGATCCCTGTCACAAAATTAACGATGATGTATCAAACCTGCGATAAGAAACCTGGTGAAGGATATCTGAAAAAATAACATGGAGAATTAGTCCACCACCAGACACTTACATTCATTACCAAAACCTTATATCCCGAAGGACCTAAACAACTGCAAATTTGTAAGGCTTAGAGCTGACAGAGTTCAGAAACCTCTGGAAGCACCGTACACAGGTTCATATAAAGTAGTTAACCGCAATAAGTACTTCACTATTACAACTTCAGATGTGAATAGCAATGTTACCATAGACAGAACGAAATCAGCAGTTGTCTCAAAAATGGTAAAAATACCTAATATTGATAAAGCAATACCAGCACAAAGAGAAACCTCACCAGATATCGACTGGATTATGGAGACAAGTCAGAAAAACGCAATGTAAACTAAGTTTGGCAGTTCAGTGACTTGGAAAATAGACAATACATACCATTATTATTAATGTACTAAATCTGAGAAGAGAAGTGATGAAGCGAGTGCAAAATAATAATAACTCCCTTAAGCTACTCTCTTCAAATTCAGAGGACTGAGGCAAAAGAAGGAAAGATATTCAAGAGCCTACGTAAGATTTTTAGCCTTTCACAGAAATTAGCAGGTGAGCTAAGAAGGAAGAAAGAAATTTGCGAGACTATGTGAAAGATCTTTTAACCAATGAAAACCTTGCCTTCACAGAAATTAACTGGGAGCGAACCTACGCGATATTCCTTTTCATATATAACGAGGGGAAAATTAAATTAAGGAGAAGAATGTTTGTAAAGTTTCAGTTCCTCGCGGCCAGCGTTGAAGTATTAGCCAGTGTAAAATTACTCGCCAATTATATTATCGTCCTCTAACCAGCACGTGGTACTTCAAAGAATTTTTTCTCAACAATCCAAGAAAGCTAAGTTTTTCAAACTATCTCTCTTCTTCTATGTTCTATAACATCAACAATACTGGTTGTGATGATTGTAAGCACTTCCAATCCCACTAGGGAATGTTGGGAGCAAACAGATCAAACGAGAGTTTAAAATAGTGGTTGAGTTTAGCACGTCTAGTTTCGCTTCAGCTTTTCAGAGGCCAGTCATATAATTTATCTTTCCATCCTAGCCCAGTAGAACAGGCTCGAACGCAAGACCGTAAAGTATAAAGTGAAAGCGGACAACCATCATGAATAGACCGAGACATGGTTGAAAGCTTTGACCAGTGGCGATTCTGCAACTCTGAAAATGGGGTGGGGGTTTGGGGGGCCGATATTTTTTTGCGCAGGAGGAGGGGGCATCAAGCAGCGTCTTTATTTTCATACTACACCACTATCGTATACACAACTTAGGAATGAGTTTTAAGTATGTTACTTCACTAAATTAAACGGAATAACTTTTCATTCATAGTAGTGGAATTCTAATCTATTCTTGTCCTCTTTTCCACTCTCAAGCTGTTGGACCACAAGAAAGGTTAACTTCAAAACAAAATCAAAGGGTTAAGGTCAATACTAGCAGAAGAGTGTAATTTATCTGCTCTGATTTTTTCCCTCTGCAAAACTGTTTCGAAGCACAAAATAAATGCCAGAAAAAAATAAATGCGAAAATAAAATAATGCAACACAATCAATCAAAATGCTGTGGCCGTACAAAAATCCAGCTAACAACAAATCGACAAACTCTGGCCATACGATCAAGAAGCTACTTTGAAATAAGGAAATAATATAATTTCTCTATTATCCTGAAACAAAACATCAAATAGGGCACAAACGCAAATTAACATACCAAGTTAATGTAAAATTATTTTGTATCAAAATTCAAATAAATTTAATTTACTAGCAGAGTCAATTTACCCTACTACTACTAACTCAAAAAATTGATTGAATGGTCAAACTCGAGGCATAGTCGGTAACCGGATAATTTGTAGCGGATGGGTTTGGTTGTCGGAGTTTTATTTTGATATCTCTTTGTTAAGCGTAATCAGATATCGTCGCCGCTAAACTGGTCTATGTCTTTTTATTTTGCCTGATCTTCGCAGATGTGAATGTAATAAAAAAAGCTAAATGAAAGCTAAATGAAAAAGAAAACAGAGGGAAAAGTGCTGAAAATCAAATCTTATCATAATCAAAGACTGATCAGTTTCATAAATTTTTTAAACTTAGAAAAGTAGGGAGCAACTGAGGTGCAAACCAAAGGGGTGGGGACATTGACCCCATCACCCCCGAATCGCCACTGTCCCTGACCTTATCACATTTACCTCTACCACGACCGCGGGAGTCATAGATGTCATAGACAAGCGTATAGTTGCAAAAAAAGAAATACAACAACACCAGAAATAGATTTACGTGATTTATTTCAATAGGAACGTGTGGTTTTGGGACAGTTACCTTGTGGTATAGTTCATAAGCCGGCTTCCGATCTGGGTTGATCTCTCATAGTAGTTCTCACTGGTTGGCGTGGCGTTCCTCCTGCTGACTGCTGCTGACTGACCGTGACAGGTCTCTTCCCTGGCCTCCTGTTGACTGCTGTTGTACTTCCCCGTGTGACCCCTTTTATGGCGTTTTTTAACAGGCTCGTAAAACGACGCGAGTATAATTAGGAGGGAAGCATTTTTATTGGTCGAACACTTTAAAATATCATTTTATTTTTCGACCGGAAGTCGTGCGCCGGGCATATGCGTAAACGACGATAATGGTCATTTTGTGACGGGGCCTTGTCCCGTTCACATCCGGCTCTCGCTTTTCAGTATGTTAATTTATTTGCCTGCAAATCAACCGAGATATGTCTTATTTTATTTTATAACATAGACTGGTCCAGGAGTGAAAGAATGGTCCAAAACCGGCAGACACTTTCGACTTTTTCAATGATCAGGCGAACCAAAAAGGTTGTCCTGAATAGTCTTTCACAGCACAAGTTTACTCAAATAAAAAATTCGATCAGACTAGGTAGACAAACGGTTTTACCTTTAATGCAGAGCTGAACTTTTTGGCATAAAGGGCGAAAATTACCTATTCCATCCCCACCGTTTTTATTAGCAACATCTCTGGAGAATGGTATATTCCCATTCTTCAACCAATTATTAAAAATATCAATGCCAGCAGAAGAGCACATGCTATTTTATCACAATGTCGGACATTTAAATAATAAATTTAATGACAAAAGTGATGGAAACTAAACATGAGCAAAAAGAAAAAGAAACGAAATTAAATCTGCTTTAAAGAGTCAAAATGTTATAAGATTAATAATTTAATTTAAATTTACAGTTCTCAGCTCTCTTTCGTACGCATGTGTAGTCGCAGCATCAATGTTAAACTAAAAAACATCATATTTTGTCCGATTAAGTCCTAAATGACGAAAAGCGTCAAACGGAAACTTGTTCCACTTTTTGTCATAGATTTCGTTATAACTGTCACCTCGTTGTTGTTGAGTATGACCATCACAAGATAGCCTTAGTTTTTTGCTTTAAAAACATACACGCACGTACAAGGTGAGTGCTGGATCAGCCCGACCTATTTGCTTATATAAAAAAAATCCATACTTGGCCACATCAACAATTTTATTTTTAGCACCCTATTCGTAATAAATACACTAATAAATGCTTAAAACATAGGTTTGACAAAAAAAAAAAAAAAAATCAGATGTAAATAAATTTAAAAAGTAGGATTCATACATAATGTTTAAACTTTAATTTAAAAGAAAACGTCCTTTGCCTAGTTTTTTGAGTTTAATTTCCACTGACTTTAAAATAAAAAGAAAACTATTTTTCCAATCGTGTTTTAGTTTTCTTTTGCACACATATCTTTATTTCCCACTTCATGTTCATAGGCCCAGAGCCCCGGATGGCAATCAACTCGTGAATCGTTTTTAAAATAAATAAATGGTTGTTGGAATTTTAAGGTGCATACAATTCCTAGTAGAAAAGGCGAAAAAAATTAATGAATCCTGCTAGTAGTTGGATCACTCGATTTGTACAATGTGTGTGTGTGTGTGCCCGCATGTTTGTAAAATGTCCTATGATAAGTTGTAGTCCCTTTCTATGGTACTATACGGATTCAGTTTCTCGAGCTATATACCATCATTCCTTTCGCATCGGCTTTGTGAACACATGATTCAAAATGGCGACTACTATATGTTGGTTACGGCATGTGTGCTCCCATTCATCGCATTTACTGAAAAAACAGGTAAAGTTAAAAGTTAAGAATTTGATAAAAAAAGCAATCCAGATACTTTCAAACCGTAAAAGTAAAAATAGACTAAGTGTGAACTAATTGCAAAGTAAATTTGAGAACAATTCATGTGGTTTGTGCCGTGAATGTTGACCATACCTTGACACTGCAGTATTTACAAATGATGACCCCTTTTCATTTTGTCTTGTGAAGGAAATAGATTTTAGGCTTTTTCTATTAAGTCTGTGTTAACGACATATTTATTTTCAACCAAATTTTAGCCCCCCCCACCTAACCATTTTTCACACTTACAATTATTAATAACTTGGAAAAATCTTTATTTTAGGTAACTTACTCCAACTCCAACAGGTGGGTGGCTCTTAGAAATAAATATTGTCCATCTTCTCTTTCATTTTCTTAATTTTTTCTTCCTTCCCCTATCTTATTTTTCAAAAAGAGTGAGAATGTCAAATCAAAGGTCATACGACTTTCATTTACCCTCAGTTCTTCCATCAACTCCTCGCGAGAACTTTATACCGGTAGTACAGATCAATCAATCAATCAATACCTTTTTTTTTTTTAGTTTATAATTTTATTTAATTTAACTTTCCTTCAAGTAAACAATTTTTTAAATATATCTTTTACTTTTTAATTATGTTTTTCAGATTAATTTCATGTGTTTTACTTTCTTTTCTTTTATTTTTTTGTAAGTTTACTCGCTTAGTCAAGACTCAAGTTCAAAGAAACAATTATAAAATTATTGAAATTAATTAAACGGTAAAAACCTTATGTAAGGTCAAGGACGTACATTAATTGATATATTAAATTTCCAATACTTTTTTTTTTTTTCTTTGGCATACCTAATCGTGCTTGGATGGATACCGATTTAGTTTTTTCTTACTTATGTTATTCATATTGTTATTTTTTTTTTGCCTGCTTGAACTTACTCGAAAATAGATGCCCATATCCAAGAAATCTGGACAAAGTAAAAAAAAAAAAAAGTTATAAAAAAAAAAAAAAAGAAACATCTGAACAAGTACAAAAATAAAGATCGAGCGAATTATTTATTTTTCTTTATTAGTTTAAAATTGGCGAGAAATTTCCTCGGGTGCCCGTGACCTCGCACACAAGGACAACAGTTTCCTTTGGCTTACATAGTTTTTATTTGATTTATTTATTTATTTTTTGTGGTAACAATGACTGGAATAATCATTTTTTTTTTTTGTTTTTTTTTTACCTTTTTAAACAAACAATGGAATTATTCAGAAAATTGTATTTTTAACGGCTTCAGGGCGACACCCCAAACAAAGGTCTGCTTGTCTCTGATTAGAGACTAATTAATTACTAGTAAGTACAAACTACAAAAAAAAAGTTGCCACCAGATTTTGGGAACGGGTACTTAAGTTTGGGACAGCGATCAAGAATTTGCACATTATTACTTCACAGCGTCCAGCACCCCCTCCCCTCTCTCTCAGGCAATTGATTTTGCAAGGATTTTGCGGCTTGTGATACCCAACAATTAGCTAATTAACAACAAATATTTAATACTAGAAATCAGTTGTTATTTCTTATTGAAATATAAAAATGTACCTGTAAAATAAAAATCAATCAGAAATTGTATATTCAACGAAACAAAAATATTTTAGGAAAAATATCAATTAAGGACTGAAAAATATTTTTCATAATCAAAGTTTTATTCCACGATTTTTATTTACAGTTTTACTTTTAACATCGTGATTAAAATTTTAAGACAACTTAAAAAAAAACATTTGTTACCAATTATATGAAATGTAAAAAAAATAAAAATTAAATTAATTTAAACAATAATTCCAGGTCGCATACTGGAATAATACATTTCGAAAACTCAATGATTATATTTGTTAAAAAAATGGTTTTCATTTTGACAACATTGAACATCAAAAAACAGAAATACCACTTTTTTTTTTCTTTTTTGATGAGTTTTTTCCGAAATTAAAGAAAAAAAAAAAATTGCTACTCTCAAAAAATTATCAGATCCAAACAAAATTTTCAGTACTTAATGAATGAATTGTATATTGAATGAATAGATTATTTAATTAGAAAACTGTGGAAATTTGGAAGTGTCACTTGTAAATTTGTTGTTTAATACATATATTTGTTGACATATATATATCGGTCTTATTTGTCTTCTTTACATTTTCGGTTGATCTCAATTTGAGTCTGGCATTGTTCTTGTAGTTGGCCCTTCTTCTAGCAGGAATAAACAGCATGTGTTTCTAATTTAACAACTCGCAAACCCACACGGTCCCCTACGGAAATTTCTGGCCCCCTCTTTTTCGATATCTGGTTCTTTCTTTTTAATTTGGTGGGGGTGTTCGTGAAATATTTTTACAATTATAGAGAAAAAGCATTGAAAATATTATTTTTCAGTAAAAATTTTATGCCAATATCAAGTGTGAACATAGAGACCCAAACCTTACTCAAATTTTTTTTCTCATAGTTGATGCTTGCATAATTTAATAAAACATTCCTTTTTTTTCTTTCCATTTTATCAACTGTTAAATTATTTTTGTATGGATATTCAAAAAGGAAATTTACTACTTTTCCCTATCTAAAGACTTAAAGTTTAAGAAGAGTTATGATAATTCTTAGTTTCAGAATAATTGAAAATATAAAACAAAAAAAAAACACAATGACATCAAACAGGTAGGAAAAGAAATAAAAGCAATGTTTTAAATCAAGGCGAATTTAAACTCACACAAAACTAAAGTATAATTAACTTACAGAAAAAAATGGTTGATAAATTAATAGCATTTTGAATTCTGTTTTTTTGTATTTTCTTTTTATTATTACACCTGTCCCAGTCACAGTAGTGACTTTTTGTTTTAGGTACAATATAAAATAATGAAGACTGGTATAATAATAAAATAACACCATATTTTTCTTTTTATTTCAAATGCAAAACAAGAATGACTGGATATGGGAGTTCAAACAAAACCTTTTACTTTTATTAGACAACCATGTCTATATAGCACTGAATACTGGACAATTTCCTTATGGATGAAGATTAGAAGTGAGAAAAAAGGTTCTACCAACAAATGTTGAGAATACCATGGAGTGAATATGTGATAAATAGGGAAGTTTTAAGGTGAATAGGAACTACAAAGTATTTACTGCTCGCAATCAGCTGAGAATTTTGAAATACAAAAACGAGTGAAGAAGGTTTGTAGAGTTTAACACTCATGGAAGAATAAAGGTAGAAGCAAAAGAAAACTGAATACTCATCTACTTGATGTATTTCTGAGTAAATCAATGGCAGAACAAGCGATTTTTTTTTTTTTTTTTTTTTTTTTTTTCTAACAATAGTCATGAGCAGGAGTCACAGAGGAGTGTGGATGGTGGATGCAGCTGGGCAAGTTGGGCCCTCCTGGCAGCCAGTTGTAAATCCTCTTCATTTTAACCCCCACTCCCTTGATGGTCCTATGCTAAGAAGTTTTCCTGCTCTCAGGGTTGATGTTGGCCTGTGTCAGGGATGTCTTCAACTGATCATTTTGGGTCTTCACATAGCTGCTTGCCGCTGATGAGTTCTTCAAACAGGATGATAGGTGGGAGTTGAGTGGGACATATTCTTGATATGTGACCCCATCCAGCAGAGGCAATGTTCAAGAATTGTATCTATGCTGAGAAGAGATGTCCGAGCGACCTTGTTGGTGATGCAAACTGATGTGAAGGATTATTCAAATCTTTGTTTGCTAGAACTGTTCCAGACATTTGATGTCCTGATAATACAAATTCCATGTCTCACAAGTATACAGAAGGATGGAAAGGACCATGGCCTGGAAAGCCATTATTTGGTTCTTATGAAGACCCAGTGTGAAAGTGTTCTGTACGCAGTATGAGCTGCTTTGATCCTGTTGCCAAAGTCTCTTCTGCAAGTGACATTACACAATACTGCCAAGGTCGGAAAATTCATCAACAATTTCTACCAGCCGTTCCCTTAATGTTGATGATGATGTCTGGTGTTGTTTTGCCAAGGGCTGGCTGAATGAGGTTCATCTTTTTGACATTGACCTGCATCCTGAAGCATTTGTAGGCCTTTTTATACAGGTTTATCGATTTTTGGAGGTTAATGGCAGTTTGGTCTGCAGTTGCATCATCATCAGCATACTGAAATTCTCACACATGGGTGGTGATCAACTTTGTTTGAGAACAAAGTCGAGTGAGGTTGAAGAGTCTGCTGTTGATCTGTATAAGATGTCAATGCCAGTGCTGCCAGGAGGGACCTCTTTGATCATGGCAGTAAAGTACAGGGAGAAGAATGTCAGAGATAACACACAGCCCTGTTTAAGGCCACCAGTGATTGGAAATGGATCCAAGAGGATATCCATTTGGTCCACCTGGCCCTCCTTAAACATTCTGCATATTATTTGTCGTACACTCTAGAATACTAGTACATTCAAGAAGTTTATGTGCAATCATAACTAAATCAGTGTTTGTTAGTTTAAAAAAATCATCTGAAATGTTAAAATGGATAATACCTATTTTATTAGCATATTAAGATGGTGAATACATCCCCTTCAAATGCTATTTTTACCTTTTTCCAGCTGCACTTCCCTGAGTATGGCACAGGATCAACAGTGTTCATTATGGCTTGTGGTCTCGTAATGGTAATATTAGTCATTTCCTTATAAGGAAACATTTGGTATTCATTGACTAAGTAGCCACTGCTACTTTTGGCTGAAATTTATAAAATCTTCTCTCTTAAAACAATTTTTCAGTAAAATGAGATTTTAAAGTGCAATAACTGCTATTGCTCTTCTTCCTTGTCTACTTTTTTGTTTAATGCAGTGTTTTGATCATTATTTGTTCTTCAAGTTATGTGCTATCCATTTTAGTTGTTGTTGAAAGTCTTTAAGTGAGGTGGCTTTAGTTATTTGTTTTTAGTGATTCTGTAATTCTATGAGGTTCAAAGAAGGAAGATTCTCACTAAGACCTACAGGCTTCATTTACTCAAAGCCATTTTAACGCTTGATTTTGGCACTACAGTGTGACGTAATGGTCAGCAAGGTTGTCTTGATAGATAAATTACAACTGAACAGTGAATTTGATCCTCAATGAGTGCCCTATACTTTTGGCCTTCCACCTCACCTAAGCTACACTTAGAAAATCACCATTTTTTATCCTTGATATTAGAAAATGGTTGTATACAGTTGACAGTTTAGACATTTCTGAATGAGTTTGGTGCCAATATCCATATAAAAATCTCAATCACATTGGTAGATGCCTCAGTCACATGTTTACAGTGACATCACACACAATCCAACACTTGAAATGAATTAGATGTTAGATGAAGTGGCCATAATATAGAAAATAAATAAATATTAATTTTGTTTACTTTTGCATGAAAAATAATGTCCCCATTATCAAAATGTTGCAAGAATTATTTGAGAATGTTTTTAAGAAAAATATGTGGCTTAATTTTATTTTCATAAGTTTCATTTTGTATTCATTAAAATGACCTGTATCACTGATCTTTGTATTTTACTATTGACATGTTACATCATGATTCCTGTAATTCATTTGGCTCATACGGGTACCACCTGCAGCCATAACAGCTGTGGTGTGTCTTGGGAAAGATTAGCCTGACAGAGCTCATCCCTCTTCAGACTGGTTACCACCAAAAGGCAAGAGAGTCCAGTCAGCCTTGTTATTTAATCTATAGTGTGGAGAGAAGAGATGAATTCATACCATTACCAAGGGCATGATTACAAAAGTGAATGTAATGCATTTGGCTGAATTTTACTGTACAAATGCCACCTTATAAGATATTCAGGCAAAAGTTATCTTATATATAAAGTACAGTGTATGTGTGTTTGTGCTTGTGTGTGTCCAAGCAACTCTTCCACTCCCAATGGTGTGATTTCAATGATTCATAGCTCATTCAGGGTTGCCAGATTATGTGAGGTTAAAAATATATATTAATATATTATACTAGCCATTATCGTTGCTTTCATGGTTCAAGGGGAATAACTCTTATTTTTCTTTTGTATCCAAAATTGCAGCTAGCTTAAAATTTTAAGCTAGCTCCTGTGGAGGATTCTTGGTTTTGCTATCATAACAATACCTAGGGAGGAGTAGATGCGATAGGCATCAATAAACTACAGAAGAACTCAAAATTGATCACTGTATTTAAGTAGTGAATTAATGTTTAAGCTTGCCTTTTAAAAGTTCAAGGATAATTCTTCTGCTGCCACTTAATTTAAAGATGATTTGAAGTATATAGTAATTTGGTATCTACTCCCCCCCCCCAGTCGTGTTGTGACACAAGGTTGGTTTAACATGGGAAGCCCAAGTGCATACACCTGGGCTAGGAACAAAATTCCCTGAGTCCCCGCAACCGTTGGCTGTGCTGGTCTCAGTGCAAGCATCAATCCCTCTTTCTGGTGCAATGAGAGGGCAAGGCCTCAGACAGCTGTTCCCCAGCACTTGGGAACCCCTCAGTATAATTTTCCTCAGTTGCGACTCTCTTTTGACGGAGCCACCCCTGAACACACTCTGCCTAAAGACAAAGATGCAACATAGAGATGATAAATAAATGTGTTATAAATTTACACACTAAAATCTCAATATTTGTATTATATTTTATTTACTTCTAGGCAATATCAGGTTTAACTAATTTGCATATTGATACATTATTTACATTATTTGAACTATTGTCCTCCTCTTTGTCGCCATATTTATTACAATGTTTCGTCCATTATACGCTCCAGCCTTCTTCAGGTGGTTAGAATGTCAAACTGAACCCTTTATTTCGCTCACTGGGGTAGACTGTTCTAGTTCCACGTGCCATGTTTAATGGATGTCAGTTATCAGTTATCTCCTGTTAATTTCCCTCTGAAATTTTTCCACTGGCTTAACTGGGTATTGAACTCACTCTCTTTGGGTCCTGTCACTTTATCCACTGTGCCATCTGTCCTCAAGGACACATGGTGCAGTGGAAAAGGGCGTTAGTTAGTTGGATTCTGAAGGCATAATCATGAAAATGGGAAAAGCTGGACAGGACTATTAAGACAACTGAAGGAAGCAATCAAGTCAAAATGCAGAGGGAAGCTGAGATGCAAGTGTGCTCTTGCTCCAGGCTAACACTCACTTTCAAGCCAACTGACTATAAATTGCTACTGACTTTTTTTTTCCTAAACTCAAATCCCACCTGCATGCTTGCCATTTTGGAAACAATGATGAGATCATATGTAGAGTTTTTGGAGAAGCATGACGCCACCTTCTTCTGTAATGGTATTGCAATGCTTAAGCATCGTTGGACCAAGTGCATTGATGTCAAGGAGAACTATATTGAAAAATAATGAAAGACTGTCTTGTTTCTACAACTCCTTCTGGGTGTGGCTTAGAATTTTTTGAATGATCTTTGTATATAAAATGTCTTATACATTTTATAGTGTATAGAGGAATTTAATAATTCTTTGGCAATATTTGTTTTACCAATTAACAATGAAATAACTAAGATGGATAGAATTAGCTAAGGTCTTTATTTTTTCTTAGTTTCAGTTCTTCCTCCAAATTTCTCTTTCTTTTAATAACTGATTGAAATGTCTTTTAATATTTTTGTTTTCAACAGAATTATTGAAGATTTTATCATGCAAGAGACCTTTATCATGACTTTGAAGTCAATTTTCTTTTCTTTGTTTTAGTGAAGCTTACTAACCTTATTCTTAACATGGAAACTTAAACTTTTTTCATCACTGATTTAATTATTTATTGCCATTAAAAAATCATGAAATTGAGTTCTAGAATGTTTTTAAAAATATTGTTAATGCTTCAAATAAAAATCTTAGACAAATTTTAAATCGTCTTTGTTTATCTGTAAATTATAATTTTGGAACAGATTGAATAGTATAGTTTATACAAGAATGTTTTCTAGGTCTATTGATTTAAAAATAATAAGATCATGGAAACTTCTTAAATAAATATCATTTTTTCATGTTTAAAAGGTAACCATTGTTTTGAATCATTGTCAAATGATGGCAATTATTTTCGCACTTAAATCAGCCTTCACCTCAACTTGTATGGCTGTAGACTTAGATAGTCAAGTTAATTATCATTTCCAAAAGGTTTTTTTCATTTTCTTAAAGTCATTCTCGATAATGGATTCAAGCAAATTATTATATTTGTGTGTGTGTATTTGTTTCGTGTTATCTCTGTATACCCAACTTTGCTATCTCTGTGTCTCTGCTTGACCTATATAGTTATCAAAATTTAATTCCTATTTGTTAAAACAAGAATTTTTATCAATCTCATTCAAGAAGATAGATAAATGTTTATATCTGAGATGACATGTCAACTCAAGTAATGACATTTTATGTCCAAAAAAAAAGAAACCTCAAAAAACATTCTGTAACATTCTTAATTATTATGAACTATATTGGTTATTAAAAAGACAGTATTAGTTTGGGGGTGAGCTTAATGATTTGCATGTTTTTGTCTACCCTCCCCCTCTTAATATGTCATGGTGAAATGAAAAACTGTTTTATGATAATAAATACCATATGTGTTGAAATAATTTTAAAAAATGTTTAATATTATAGTGTCCTCTTGGCAATAATTTTGTGCGATGGCTGAACCTGCAGGAATATCAGAGCAAGATGCTGATGGCCAATCATGGCATCAATGTACAGAAGAACCAAGTTGTTGATACTGCTGTTAATTCAAGTTCTCTGGCGAAAAACATGAGTAGGTTTCTGCTTATTTTTCTTTTCTTTTTTTATTTATTTCATATTTACCTCAGAATTTAAATATCCAAGGACATTTATTTTTTATGATATTTTATTTAACTAAGAAGGAAAATGATTTATTGACGGAAATTAATATATTAGGTAGTTTTTTATAAAATCTTTTATTTATATAGATTCATAGCATCATTAATCGGTTATCAAAGTATTGGCTTTACACCACCTTTCACCAAAATTATGTGTTCTATCATGAAAGAATGAATCCACTTTCCCTTCAATGAATTTTTAAATTATCTTGAAAATATTAATAAAATAGACATTAAACTATAATGGTCCTGAATTACAAATTTGAAATATTCATTTTATCTATTAAAACACACAAATATATAGATTAATACAAGTATAATGTTTGTCACTTAGATGCTTGATGTTACCTTCAGCATCCCAACTCCAGAGTTTTGTAGATGGACCCCCCAGAAATCATCCTGTCAGGGAGTGTGTGTGTGTATATATATATATATATATATATATATATATATATATATATATATATATATGTGTGTGTGTATCACCACACAGTTTTTATAAAAGGAAAGGTTTATTTTTGAATTGTATTATTTGCATTTGAATTTAAAAAAAAAAAAAAGTTTGGGCTCCTTACAGTGGTGTAGCTAGAGGCGGGGGACTGATGGGGCAGTCTGCTCTAGACAGTACTGTCATGCCTGCTGCAAGCTTTAAGCCTCTCTTGTAGGTTGTATTGAAATAATAGTGGTTCTAATCTCGAGACAGTACTCAAAGTTGAAAGACCTTTTCGATTTTGAGTAACTTAAATTATGGCATATATATATATTGGCCTATCTATTATACAGGGTGCGAGTGCTATTTGAGGACATTTTTAGTATGTCAAATAAACAGCAATATCTTAGCAAACAATGTATATATTTAATTCAAATTGACACAAATATCCTTCATGATACTTCTTTATCTAATTATTCTATGAAACCACCTTTGGCTTCAATGACTGCTTCTATTCAGGCATGAAACTGTCCACAAGCTGCAATTAAGTGGGCCCTATTCATTTTGGACATCACCTGGACACTGGTGGCCTTCAGTGCAGCTATGGTACCTTGAGGATGTCGATTAGTCTCCCTTTCAACTACGCTCCACACATAATAGTCCATGGGATTTAAATCTGGCAAGTTAGGGGGCCACGTGTTGGAGGTCACATGATTGTAAAAATTCTCTGATAACCAATCCTGGGTTACAATGGCTTTGTGAGAAGGTGCAGAGTCTTGTTGAAAGACATATGGCCTTCCATTGCATACTTTATTTATCCAGAGTTTAACAACTGTTTTAAGAACCTTAATGTATCCAACCCCTGAAGATCTTATGGGAAAATGTAAGGTGGCATGACATGACCTTCACTGCTCACAACTCCTAAAACCATCACAGTAGCCAGATATTTGGTGTGCATCATCCTGAGTACTTCAGAAGGAGATGCACATAGCCACCTGTCATTCCGTCTGTTTGTTTTCTGATCAAAGTTTTTTTTGTCAGAGAAAAACCAAATCATGCCATGTTTATGGGGATTTTTCACTTTGTTCATCAACCGTTTTGAACGCATGAATTGGCCTTTCCTCATTATATATGACTTATATCGACTACCCTGATGTACCACGGTTCTGATAGTCCACTCTTCTGATAGTCCACTCTGATACTTGGAGTTTTTTGGCAATGGACCTCATTGATTTTCTGGGGTTCTCATCGATGATGTTTTGAACATTCCATATAAATTCTGGTGTTATCACTGTATCAGAGCGCTGTGAATACTTTTTTTTCTTTTTGCTACAGGGGAAAGATTGCCCTCACATTCTTCTAGCTCAAATGATCTGACAATATGTAAAAAGCTACTGATTTTTAAATCACTATGTTTTGCAGCTAAAGCAACAATGACTGCATATCTTTTCTTTTCTTGGGTTAACATTTTCCTCTGATTGGGTTATCTGAAATAAAAAAAAAAAAAAATATCATAAAATGATTTGAGTGTGTAGTGAACTTAAAACAATATGTCCTCAAATAGCACTTGCACCTCAATGGGACTTAAACATTCCTCTCTCACCAAGCAGAAAACCCTATTTACTTTAGCTATCTCTTGTTACTATGAACAACCCAAACTGTAAATCTCTTCAAGTGAGTAAACAAAGTTTTACTAATATTTTGTGTTGGGACATTTTATTCTTGTATGAATGTTGGACAGAATGATCTAAGAAATACATTTGAGATTTCAACAGCTTCATGAACTTGTTAAGAAATATTCTTTCCTTACACTGTTGAATCTTTTGGATGATAAATATGAATTTCAAATAGATCGCAATTACAATGACATTGCTAAAAAGGAGTTCCTCATTAAGAGAAAAAGACTGCAGCATTTTATTTAGGCATGTTCACAGATCTGCTATACATAAGGTTTAAAATGCATTTTTAAAAATGAAAAAATCTTTCTTGACGTTTTCTTTTTAGCTTTAATTCAAAGATAAAAGAATAAATTTACTATACTGAGTAGCCAAAATACTTTGGTGTATTTAAAACTGAATTTATATTGATTGAAATAGACCTGTTTTCAGTAAAACAATGGTGTCCATTTTTTAGACATTTGTAAACAAAAGCTAATTCTCTGTTTAAAGAATCTTGCAAAAATGTACTTTTCTCTGAAGAAAATTAGGAAATTTAAATTTTGCATAATCTAATTTGAAACAAACATTACTTTTTTAACATAAAAAATGTAGTAGAAAAGCATTTCTTAATCACAGGGACTTTTTGAGGTGTTGATCGATGTATTGACAATTGGTTAAAGTTATCAGACAGATGAACAGAAGGGACATAAATTTTACAATTTTTAAGAGAATTTTATTTAACTCCCTAATAATATTTATAAATTAACAAATATTTTAAACAATTTAATGTTTTATTGATTTTTAGGCACTTTAGCTTAAGCTTGAGGATCCTTCCTGGAAAAATAAAATTTAAAAACTATAACAATTAAAGAAATTTAAAATTTATAACTGAGATAATATAAAAATTAATTATAACATAAAATTTCATAAATAAGAGAGGTACCTATAATTTTTATGTACATCTCTTATGAAATTTTATGGTATTTTATTTATTATTAATTTTATATTGTCTCAGTTATGAAATTTAAAATTTTAAACAACTCTTAAAATGTGACTTTTTAATGATAATGTCATGTATCGGCATCTGTATATTAAAAGAAAGCATATTTATATACATACATAAACAATTTAAATTTTTTTTTTTCAAATACTGGTATGTTGCAGATTGTAATAAGCTTTTAGATTTGATTAGTAAAAATAGTTTTACTAAAAATGGCACTAAATTTTAAAAGATTTAAAAACTTTATAAATTATTGTAATTAAAATTGTAAAAAAAAGCAAAACAATTTTTGTAAAAATTCATTTTTCATTGGAAAATAATTTTTGCTTCAGATATTATTGTCTTTAACATATATTATTCATAAAAGCAATTAAAAGCTTTCCTAATTAAATAATGTCTTCGTTTTATTGGGTTTTGTATTTTACAATTCAGAGCAGGTTTTCAGTAACTGGTAATCCAATTGTACAAAAAAGTATTGGTGATATAAATTCTTCAAAGACTTCTGCTTTTAACTAATATAATCAATAAAAATTACACCTTTAAATTTTTCAAGTTTTCATAAAATTAAGTAAGGGGATGGCTTACAGATAAAAATATTTTTACCAAGACTTTCTAAAAAAACAAAAACATTTTTAAAACAATTAATTTGTGGATAAGTTCTGAAAGTTTTCAATAAACTCTTACAATTATTTGATTTACGCAAGAGTTTCCAAATCAATTTGTCTTTCAATGCAAAAAAGACAAAAATTTTCTATGTTGATGTGAGAAAATCAAAATTTTTTTAATCAAAATTTCAAATGTTCTAAAAAGGATTAAAAACATTAAAAAAAAATCAAATACTTTGGTCTTTCCTCTATTATTAAGAGGAAAGACCAAAGATTAAAAATTTGACTATGAAATTTAGTTTTCGCAACAAGGGGTAGTAAATAACATAGATAATTTTTAGCGCGTTTTTTTGTATTTACACACATTAATTTGGAAAATCTTGCAAAAATAAAAATAATTATCAGATGTTAATGAAACTTTCAGAAACTATTCACAGATGATTGAAATTATTATAAATATGTTTTTTTTTTTTTATTAAAGTCATGGCAGAAATATTTTTTTTATATTTAACACCCCCATAACTTATTTTATTAAAAACTCTAGAAATTCGAGACCATCGGTTTTAGTGATTACAATAGTTAAAAGCACAAGGCTTTGAAGAATGCAAATCATGTTGTTGTTTTTTTTTTTTTTTTTTGGCCAACGTACCTGAAAATCAGCTGTGAATTGTAACATACAAAACTCAATAAAACAAATATATTATTTAGTTTCAAATGCTTTTATTTGTTTTAATTTGTTTTTATGAATATGGACAATATTTTCTGGAAGCAAAAAATTTTTTCAATGAAAATTGAATTTTTAATACAATTATTTCTTATTTCTTTAATTTTAAAAAGATTTTTAAAAAATGTTTAATTTTGAAAAATATTTTAACATTAGTTAAATGCAACATCAACCTTTCAAAATGTCCGTGTGAGATTGTCATTGTCTTGCGCTTTGAAAATTGTATAATTTGGACCAATCAGATTAGCCATGGTAATTAAGAAATGTAATTTTTGTGTTTATAGTCGGACAGTAATTATCAAGTACGGAAGACCAACCAGAATACAATTTAGTTGCATTATTTGAGTTCAGCATTGTTCTCCGCTGTTAAGCCCTTTACTTTTTTGAAACACGTATGGAGAAGTTAATTTGAGTTTTCAATTTCAACTGAGAAGGGTACCTACAAGTAACAGTATCATCTTATGAAATTTAACTACTGCTAAACTTTAATTTATATGATCTTATTTTTAAATTAATCTCAGTTATGACATTTTCCATAAATGAAATATCAAAATTAATAATAAAATGAATGGAAATACAAATAACACAGTAAAATGTAATAAATGTACATAAAATTATAGTATTTTATGTACACTTCTGATAAAATTTCATAAGAAAGGTACCTAAATTAATTAGATACCTTTTTCTTATGAAATTTAATCTCACTAATAACAGTCTTATTTTTTTAATTTCTTTATATTTTCCATAAAGCATAAATAAGCGTAAAAATGAAAGCTAAGTACAAAAAAAAAATAAAAAATTAGAGTGCTGAAAGTTTTTCCTTAAAAAGTAACGAGGTAAATAATTTGTTCACTTAAATAATTTCACTTCCTTCCATCCGTAGCAAAGAATTACCCTCCTGTAAGTTATCTAAATGTCATGAATGTGCCTTTCGTCAAGCGACACGAAAGGTTATGACCTCTTTTGTTTTATTTTCAAATTACATTTTTTTGATTGCAGAAGCTAAGTTAAGCTTGGTTCAAAATATTTTAAATAAACAGTATAATACCTGTTTTTATTAAAATCAGTTTTTGAAAAAAATGGTAATTGATTTTTAAAAGAATATCAAAGTAAGATTTTAATCTTTTTATCAAATCGAAAAAAAAATGATTGAAAATGATTATCTGTCTTTTTTTTTTTTTTTTTTTTTTGAAAAAAAAAAAAAACAATATTTTAATGAAAATTTCAGACGTGCTAGGAACGATTAAAAATGTAAAAAAATACCCCAAAAAATACTTTGATCTTTCCTCTTTAATAATAATATGAACATTAGGCGATAAAATTTTGTTTTCATCAAGTTGGCGTCTTTTTCATCATGCTATGCTCTTTTGTTTACATTTTCGTGGGTGAGTTGTCCCCTTTCATTCTCACGATGTGTCTTAATCGTGTTTTCAAATTGATTTTCTTAAAAAACAACTGTGTTTTTCCCATTTTTGGGCGCCGTTAGAACCACCAAAAGGTAATTTTATGTAGTCCTGTGAAGTTTTGTTGAAATCGGCTAAAAAATGTAGGAAATTCGATACAACGTATAAACGTTACAGACCTCACACACACACACACAACCTGCGTTTTATAATAAGTAAGATATTATTTACTTTTCCTTCTAGTAGATTTTCCATGGCTCTCTGAAAAATTGAACTGGCTGTTTTAACTCCAAATGGCAAGCGAGTCCATCTCAATAAGCCTAGGGCGAGTTTATTGTTTCTTTGAATTTGTCATCTATTTGGATTTGGTTGTACACATTTTTTTAGGTCTATTTTCGCGAAATATTTCAGTCCCACAAAGGAATGCAATATGTTTTCTACATTTGGAATAGGATATGAGTCTGAACAAATTTTGTGATTCACACCTACCTTGTAATAGCCACAAACCCTAACATCACCATTAGGTTTCCTTACGGTGACAATAGGAGATACCCATTTACTGCCTCCTGGTTCAACATGGTGAAGTATTCCTTCTTCTACCATTTTGTTCAGCTTCTCAATCACCATCGGTTTTATATGTATGGGAAGCCTTCGACTGAAAATATGATGGTGTAACATTTCTTTTTAGCTTAATGCTTGCTTTATAGTTTTTTAATGTTCCTGTTTCACAACTAACATTGACAGCACTCAGTAATTGTGTACTATCAATATTCACTAAGTCAGTACCTATTAGGTCATGACTTTTTATACACTCCACTACTATGATGGTGATTGTGCCGAATCTCTTCACTGTTTCAAATGTCCCTTGAAAAGAACCTAACGCTTGATACAGGTTCCATCGAATTGTTTTAGTTTTACTGGGATTCTTCTTAACTTTAGTCTTTTTAGTCTTTCCCAAAAATTTCTAGGAATGAGAGTTACCTTGCTTCCTGTGTCAACTTGCATCTTTAAATTTAAATCATTTAAGATTATAATCTTGAACGTATTCCTTTTGTTTTTCTTTTCTATCGAAAAAAACATTTGATTATTTCTTCCGTCCTGTACTATTTCCATGTTTTTTACATTGCTGCTTTGCCATTTACACACCATGGCTTTAAAATGATTCTTTTTTTTATTTTTCTTACAATTATCACATATTTTTCCCCATGTGGGACATTTTTCTCTTTTTGGCTCATATTTGCATTTTGATTTTATATTTTTCTTAATGGTGCATATTTCCATCATTTCTTCTTATTAGTTTTCTTTGTTACATTTTTCAATCAACTCGTCCTGCTGTATAAATTCAATACACACTTCCAAATTCATTGCAACCTCTCCAAAGTTTTAAGTCTTTGTGTATTATCATATAATTCTTCCACAACTAGAAGCGGAATCAATTCCTCCTTCATTGTCATTCCATTTCGTCCAAGCTCATTAAAGTCGCAATACCTACTAGTATCTCTTAGTCTACTGAGATATTTCCTAATTGGTTCTCCAAACTCTTGTCTCAGCACTAGAAATTTGGTCCTTTCAGTAATAACCAATCTTTTTCTTGATTGGATATTCTTTTTTCAATTTCCTCCGGGTAAGTCATTAAGGACACTTGTTTAATGGCTTTACATCCCACGGTGGCCATAAACAAATCAATGATTTGTTTCTGCTTCTGGTCATCCGCTAATTTCTTCATTCTGGGCATTGCCTCAAAACACTTTAACCAGATAATAACCTCTTCGGGGTTTTCCAAATCCAGCAGTTTCGTTCAGTGACGCCATTTTGTCATGAAGCTCGTACACGCACAATTTTAGTAGTAGTAGTCATCCGAGTGACTGCCCCTGTCTATCTAGCATTCTGCCTAACATATAGTGGTATGGTTATACTAATTAGTATAAGCCAAACCAATCCCACTACACAAGGAAAATTAATTCATTTAATTTTACAAAAATCTATTGTTTTATCTGGCGAATAATACACTTAAGTAAGATTATAGTAAAAAAAAAAAAAAAATGATTAAAATAGTTTTTAATATCAGTATTAAAATGTGTATCTAAAAAAGAACAGGTGATACTCACAGATTTGGAAATCTACACATTCTAAAAATGAAATTAAAAGCTTTTAATTATTTTTAATATTTGATTTTAGATGTATTTGCTAGATAAAAACAAATTTATTTAGGGGAAAAATAATTCATTGTTTTTCCTTGTTTATAAGAAATTTTATATATATTTATATATATATATATATATATATATATATATATATATATATATATAAAACTTAAATAGTGAGTTGCTGTGCAAGTTGGTTTTGGGGGCACATACTCTAGCTATGCCACTGGCTCCTTAATCCAAATAGTCTTCATCTATGGAAATGAAAATGTAGACCCATCCAAAAGAATTATTTTATTTTTATTTTGCACTTGATAACACTATGCAATTTAAAAAAAAAATTTTTGTTGTAACTTACTAAACATCTGTTTTGGTGGGCTGTTTCTTTCAGATTGTGAAGAATATGTTGTAAAAGCACAAATTTTGGCTGGTGGCCGTGGCAAAGGAGTGTTCCAACCAAATGGCTTTAAAGGTGGTGTTCATCTAACTAAAGAGTAAGAATATTATGAACTCCTCTATCAAAATAACAATTAACTTGATTTTTTTTTGTTTCATAGGTTTTTAAAAATGACAATTATTAATGCTACCATTTATGACTGAAAATGATGGCCTGCTTCACAACCTCTTTGTATTACATTTACTGTATGATTTCAAAACCTTGTATTATATAATACAGAAATTTGTAATTGAAAACTCTTAATCATCTATTCCCTTACTTTCTTTCTCTCTATTAAAAATTTTACTTTGATTTATTTAATTTTGTTTTTCTGATGACAAAATAAATTTCACATGACTTGTGACTTCATTGTCAAAATCCCAAATTGATCAATATTGATTTTCATTACAATCAAAATATTGTTTCTTTATTTTCCTTTTGCTGAAATTGTTATTTTTACGAGGATCTTTTGTTTTTTTTCCTCTTTAGTGCTAACAAGGTTGAAGACTTGGTAGCTAACATGTTGGGTAATCGTCTTGTCACTAAACAAACTCCTAAAGAAGGAGTTGTAGTCAACAAGGTAAGAGGAATTGATTTTGTTCTCTTGATTGCATTTATTGGTGTTAATTATTTCTCAGCTTATATCTTCTTCAAAATAATGTACTTGCCTACCATGACTTTCATCTTCATTATTATTTTCTATAACTTATAATTATTCCACTTGTCTGTGTTTGTAGAACAAATATAATTTTTATCTCAAAGGAATACTCTTACTATTTTATTTAATCAAGTTTTCTTTATCAGTTTGTCGGTTAGTTACCAGTAGAATTCTTGTCTAGTTAGGTAACCAGTGATATCATGAGAATTTATTAAACAATATCTGAACATTCATTCATTCTAATGATTGTTAGATGAAACTAAAGTGCAGTGTATTTTTTAAAAATATTTCTTTGATCATTTGCAGGTTATGATTGCTGAAGCCTTGGACATTGCTCGAGAAACTTATTTTGCTATTCTTATGGATCGATTACACAATGGTCCTGTTATGGTTGGCAGTGCATCTGGAGGAATGGACATTGAAGAAGTGGCTGCCTCAAATCCAGAAGCTATTCATACTGTAAGCTTTTCATATATTTTTAAATAATTTATCATTTTACAATTAATCCTTTAACACAACTATTTCAGTTTTATTAATCTCAGATATTAACATAGTTGGAATTAACCTTTATTTTTTTTAATTTTTTTTGGATATTTCTTCACTATTCTGAAAAACAAAAATAAAACTACCTTAGCATTGCTCTAAAAATGTTTGTAGAGAAGAATGTGCAGGTCTACACTGCATCTTAATAAGGAGAAGTCAAATACTGTACCAAGTATAGGAGTGTGCCTGTGTTGAATACTTTCTGATTGCCTCAGTGCTACACAATTCCAGGTTTGCTCTTAAGCAAGCTATAACATTTCTCTTTTGAGAATCCCAAGAATTTACTCATTCATAAGTTCAGATATTAGAAAAAATGAATACAAGATTTAAAGCTAAGAAAGTTTTTGCACTTAAATTGATATGCCATAAAATTACATTTCATAATTTCTCCTTCTGTATAGCCTTCTAAAGACAAAAGACTATTTTTGTTATGGTTGCTGTGTACATTTGTCATAAAACATTTAAATTTGTTTCTATGTAAATATGTAACCTGAATCTGTCAGAAAATATTTCAGTTCCATTAGAACGAAAATAAACAAGACAGAAATGTGATCCTATTAAGATGAAAATACAAGATCATTAAGCATTCACAGATGCTAGCAACAAAGATAGAAAAGCATTGAAATGTCATTAATCAAAAGATAGAAGAAATGTCAGCAAAAATATCAAACTTAAAGTTTACAATATTAAGTTTTTCATGTTAAATATTTAAGCTTATGTATTTATATTTTTAATTCAACTTTTGCAAAAGAAAAATTTTCACAAATACTTTCAATAACTTTTAATTCTTGCAGGAGCCAATCAATATCTTTACTGGAGTTCATCCTGAGCAAGCCAAAAAAATGGCATCTTTCCTTGGCTTCAAAGGAAATTTGGTAGATGAGGTAAGAAAACATTTAACATTTGGCTTGATATTTATTTACTTCTATAATTATATATATATATATATATATATATATATATATATATATATATATATATATATATATATATATATATACACACACCCACTATCATATTTTTCAAGCATTACAAACTTCAACAAATGTTAATATCATAAAAATTTCTATTTTCAGATTAATTTTTGTTATTGTTACCTAAATGGGAACAATTGATTAGTTTAAATATCTTAATATTAAAACTATCAAAATACTTCCTCCTTCAATTGGCAAAATAGGCTGAGAAACTACCTTAACCCCAAGTTCTTACAATGAAAATAACATAATTGGTAGTGTTAATTTTATTAGCTTTCAAATCATGTTATCCAAATGAAAGCCAAATCCATTTAATTTCTTGTTACAGTTTAACATCTTGATACTTGAAATTTTCTGACAAGTTTAATAATCTACCAGGAATAACTGCATCTGTCAGTAATGCTAGCTAACTATCAATTATGAGGATATAGGCACAATCTAATGTCTTTTATTAATTATTTACTTCTTTTAGTTGCCAACTGTGGGAAGTTTATGAAGTGTTCTCAAGAAGGAACTGGAAACCAATTGTTTCCAGTGAATCTATTTGAACTCCAATGGATACTTTAACAAAATCTGGTTGTTGGAACTGTATTTCTTTATATTCACAATCTTTTATTTTTCAAATCAAGACTTGATTCCCCTCAAGTACTGATCATTTATAATCCTTGGCTTTTAGTCAAACAGAAGTGGCAGGAGCTGACATCACAATAACATCATGGGTAGTCTTTATTCAACTATACAGCCTCTCACTGTCCTTTTAGATGGGTACCTCAGTCTTTTGCCATTTACTGCCAAAACTTTGTACATTTTCTTTTCTGCTTTTTGCTTGGATTTAAAACTAGGTTTTCTGTTTCACATATTGATATTAGTATTTGAAAAGTGTTATCGCTTTTTGATTCCATGTTTACTATTCTTGAACGAATTTGATTGATGTGTTTTTTTTATGCAAATAGCCTCCAACTTTTATTAGATAAGGTATCTTTCCATTCCTTTCTTGTCTCTGATGGTGATGACGTAGAGTTTTAATGTGTTATATAATTACAGAATTCTGTAGATTTGGCATTAAAAATTTGATTTAGTAAATTTGAGTACTGTTATTAGGCATAATTACCTGAGGATACCAACTCCTGCATAAAAATCTTTTATAGATGTTGCTTATTTATTCATTAAAATTTTAGGCCTTGTATAGAAATCTACTACTATAATTCAATAATAATCTCCTACTGTAAAGCAATAATAATATTAATAATAACCCACTACTATATTGCAATAATATTAATAATAATCTACTCATATAATGAAATAATAATATACTTCTATATTGCAATAATATTAATAATAATCTACTCATATAATGAAATAATAATATACTTCTATAATGCAATAATAATAATAATCCACTACTACTATCATGCAATAATAATAATCTACTCCAATAATGCAATAATAATAATAATCTACTTCTATAATGGAATAATAACAATCCTCTACTATAATGCAATAATACCTGCTGCCTTTTATGCTTGCGTAATTCAAAATGTCTTTTGATCTTAGATTTCTTGTTTTTTGACCAACGCTTAAACTCCTACTATAAATCGTACTTTTACAACCACAGTACATTTTTGGCAACTTGCTACCATTTTGTCTATGTTATGGTTTATAAATAGCCATATACTTTTGTTAATGATTTTAAATGAGATTTTAAATTAGTATTTGCCAAGTGTTATTGGGATTGTAACATGTTAGGTATATCCAAGTTCAAAAATGGATGTAGACTTCCTTTTTAAAAATTAGTGAAATTATTTCTTATTTTTATTTTCTTTCTTTTCAAATTTTATATTATGAAACATTTCATAACACTTTGTATCTTTTTCAGATTCAAAGTTGCTATCCTTAAATATAACTAAAAGCTCTTATCATGTTACATAACATAAGAGCTTTTAGTTATATTTAAGGATTTGTATTTCTACCTCCATATTTATTTTGGAAATGACAATCTTGTTTGTAGATTGTACATATTTTGAAATTAATCTAGAAAAACAATTAGTATGCTCTGTTTTGACAGAGGGTAATTACTCTTATTTGAGATCATACCCGATTAGCTTTGTGATCCAACATTGTAATGATTTAAAGACTTCTTCCAGATATTTCTAATGATCTTCAACAGCTTTATTTACAATTATGATGTCATCTAAGTAAGCAATTGTGAAAACTGCTAACATAGTATCCAGAATCTATTGGGGCATATTTAACAATTGATTGGTAAAAATATTTAGTGTGCATCAACTATTGTTAATAAATATCTTGATACTTTCTTTGACTTCTACTTGAAGGTCTATACATATATAGATGACAAATATTAAACACTATAATCCTTAAAACTGCATGTCTAAAACTTGAATATACATCCTAGTTATTAATGTCATTTATGCCAGAGATGAGTGTCTCTTGAAAGAAAAATTTGAATTTATTTCATTAAGAAACAAGTATCTCAAGTGAGAGACATGTCCTTATTCAGAGATTATACTCAATTCTAATCACAATTTATATGATGGTATCATACAACTTTTACTTTAGACCCAAATCTTCAGTCTTAGCTTCTCTTAGCTAACAACAGTCAATTTTATTTTTTAAAAATTGCACTTGAAACTGCATGCAAAAAGCCACCAATGAATTTTATTTCCCCCACCAAAGAACTTACATATTTCTTGTATATTTTATTGATACACAACAATCAAAACCATTTACTATTTTCTTTCCATAAAATTTAGTTTAGTAATAAGTAATAGAATTTGTCATTTGACACTTATATCTCAAATCACTTTCAAAGATTTTATCTGCTTCTTGTGAAAAATAAAGAATTGCACTTTTAAGACCATAACACTTTCTCTTAGTATCAGAAACTCTACTTGTTAATACAATATTCACTTTTCCTTTTTATACTCCTAAATAGTCTCTTCACAGAAATATTTTTTTTTTTTTTTTTTTTTTTTCAATTATGCTTTGCAGATTGATATCTTCTGAAACTTTTCTTTGTCCAGGTTAGCATTTTTCCCTCCTTTTCTTTTTAAAAATCCTTCCCAGCACATTGTTATTCTTCATTTTTCAATACTTGGTCTGGTCAGCTAATATTTGCCCAGATGCCATAGTCTACCAGTATCTAACCTAACATCATACTATTATATTAAGGATATACACCCACTATTAGGATCATTCTTGACAGGATTAATTTCTTTGGTTCTAGTTCTACAGTAAGCCTGTTTATAACTTTGTGTCTGCATTTGTAACACACATGATTTCTGATTGGTCAGCATTTCATATACCACCAAAACCACATTGTTAAAATGATTTTGGTGGTTTGGAATCTTTTAACAATTTTTTTCAGAATTTTTGCTTTTACAATTTCTTTGTTTACTTTAACTGTATTGACTGATTATCATTTTTTTGTTGTTTTTGTTTTCTATTACAGTTCTGTGATGTCATGTTAGTTTTATTAATTTTTATCTGCATCTTTGCTTGATTGAATCCTAGTCAGATATATTAAATGATTTACTGTCAATTACTTCAATTTAAATCATTCACATTCTCTATTCATCATACTTGCATTTATGACAAAATAATTGTTCACATTTTTGATAGGTGACAGATCACATTTTATTAAATATTTTGATTTGGCATTCTGTTATATTTTCTATGTTGAAGTTACCAGATTTGTTAGGTAAGATAAAATTTCAGAATTTTCTGTGTTCTGTTACACTTAATTTTATTAACAGGAGTTGCATATTTTAGTCTTCTGGCCAGTTTTTATATTTATTTTTTAAATATCTCTTCATTGCATTTGTAAAATTCTTCAAAAGTTATTCCATTTTTGGAGATGTATTTAAATTCAACAATTGAATTAGAAATAGTGTCAGGGATGTAGGAGGGACTTGATTTTGTTAAATGATACTTCTAACAGAGATCATTTACTGCTGTAAGACTATGTTGGATTGTTCCATTTTGTAATTTTTGAATCCCAAATGTGTTTTATTTTCTGGTTTCACTCTATGCTACAATTTGGTTCCACATTTGCACACTACCCTCTCATTCATTGGCTGTTGTTATGTAACCTTTTATTTGCTAAATGCTATATAATGTGTGTGAGGATTGTATTGGACTATTCTTGATGTGGACTGGACTTTGCCTATTTCCAGTGAATGTATTTGAACATGATTGGTACTTTAACACAAATTTCTGGTTACTGCAACTGTAACTCCTGTCTTCCACTGTATTGTTCAGCACTTCTTCAACTGGATTTTTTGATTGATCCACAATGTCAATCAGATGAACAGAAGTGGTAATAGGTGCCATCACAATAGTAGTGAGAGTAATCTTGATTTAACTATCCAACACTCTATTGAGAGAAGTATGAAGACATAGTCACAAATGAATGATTTCAAATATTTTGTCATATAAAAAGCATTCTGAGTGCTCTGATAGAATAAACATTCCAATCTTTTTGCCAGGCTGCCAACCAAATTTGTCAACTGTACAAACTCTTTCAAAGTGTTGATGCCACACAAATAGAAGTTAATCCTTTTGGAGAAACCACAGATGGAAAAGGTGAAAAATATTTAATGCAGATTTGTTATTAAAACTTTTTATTTGAAATTATGTTTTCAATTTGTAAAACATGAAACTGTTCTTTTTCTTAGGATTTTCTTTATAAATTCATTTCAGTTGTATGTTTTGATGCAAAAATAAATTTTGATGATAATGCTGAATTCCGCCAGAAGTCAATATTTGCTTTGGAAGACACAAGTGAACAAGATCCACGAGAAGTTGAGGCAGCCAAATTCAATTTGAATTACATTGGAATGGATGGCAATATTGCTTGCTTGGGTAAGCAGATATGTTTCTATCAATGTGATGTTTTTATTTTTCCCAATCAATCGAGGATATAGTGCAGTATAATAATGTGATAGGATAGAGAGGACTAGAACTGAACTTCAATTCTCAATGTGTTATACTGGAACACACCTATTCTATAGTTAATAGACTCTCTCACCTATAATAAGTAGTAGTAGTAGTAGCAATCACGAAGTAGCTGAGTGAGTTGGTCAGCCAGTCGATGTCGGACACTAAGAGTATCAGCGACCACCACTAGATTACTCTGCGTCATTACTAATTATATCAAGTTCCTAACGTTTTGTACGTCGAACCTTTTTAGGACCGACTTAGTGAAATACAAGCCTCCACTGTGAAACTACTCTACAACACAATGTCCAAACATTGTAAAGGTAGGGATTTTCTTCTTTTATTTATTGAATATATTTTTATTGTCATCAATGTATATTTCAGTGTTATTGACATGTTGACATTAAAAGTCTCCAGGGTATCATAATATAATATCAACTAGAAGCATAGCAAGATTTTCAGTAGATGAAATTTAAGTGTTACAATCAGTTTGACCTTGATTAAAGTTTTGTTTAAAACATATCTGGTTTCCTAGTAGTTGTAAGTCCAATCCCTGGTTAGATAGTGCTAAAAAAAAATCACTTACTCTGGTTTAGTGGCAGAAACAATTAAGTAACACTTTAAAAGCAAATAAAACTGGTAAGTATTAAGTGATATCCACTAAACCCAGAAAGCTTAATAAGAAAAACCTGCATCACCCCTCATGAATTGAATAAAATGTTTACTTTAAAATTCTGTAAAAGTTAGCAAAATTGATCACCAGCACTTGAAGAAGGCTTGAGGATATAAAAGCCCAAATGTTGTGAGTATAAAAACAAAGATGAACATATACTGGCCTGAATAGTAATAATGATAATACTTAATTCCAAAAATTCCAACAAAAATACAACAGGCTCTTGAAGAAGGCCAGAAGGTACTACAACCAAAATGTTTTAAGTCTAACAATCAAGCTGGTTCATCATGGTTCAAATAGCAAGGCACATAATAATGATAATTCCTCATCTTAAAGATCAACTTTAAAAAGTTATATTTGAACAAATGCGGTGTAAATTTGAATACTATTATTAAAACTTTGACTCCATGCTTCAAATTTATGGCCACATTACATTGAAAAACTAGTTCCTCCCAAATGATCACCAAAGTCAAGCATTGTTGAGCTAGGTATGTTAGTATCTAGCTTGGGAATACCGGATGCTGTAAGCTTGGATTTACAGGTGGTATAATGGATAATGCATTGGAATTGTTAATTGGAGAGCCAAGTTCCAATTCCAGTTGGGTTTGTTAAATTCACTTGCTTGCAAATAACCTTGGGAAAGGTATGAATCCACCTCTTCTCCCCTTGTTATTGGTTAATTAGTAACACATGTATCACAACCATTATTATTTCCAAAAATAAAATAAAAGTGCATACAGAATATTTAGATTTCAGCATTTAAATAACTCATATGCCACTAAACAAAAACAACTAACCAACCAATCCATTTTCCAGGGCCTTTTATATTTCTGTAATTAAACATAAACTAATCTCATTTTTAATTCTTCATGTAAATCTGATTTTTTTAAATAGTGCTTTAAACTTGGTCATTGTGTTATAATGCAAAATATTTTATGTTGCAGTAAATGGTGCTGGTTTGGCCATGGCTACAATGGATATCATTAAGTTGTATGGAGGAGAACCAGCTAATTTCCTCGATTGTGGTGGAACTGTTACAGAAACTCAAGTCTTTCATGCCTTTAAACTTTTAACTGAAGATTCACAAGTGAAGATACCACAAGTTTTTCTTGATCATTTTTGTATATCTTTATTTAAAGCTCTTTGCTTGTAAATCCAGAATTTTGAGATTTTAATTTTAAATGCAAGTTTTTGTAATATGAAAGTAATTATTAAAAATAATATTAACAAGTTCATAATATAATACTCAGTTCTCGGAATTTTTTTCTTTATTATGTCTCATAATACAAATTGAGTCATATTAGTTGTCTTCAGAATGTTTAAAGAATAATTTAAGGTAAAAAATGTACAAAATGAAAAAAAATCATTGGCTTTATTTCCTATCACTGGGGCAAACATTTTTCCATTGCTTGTCAAATTCCTTTATTGAATATTAACTGAACTTTATGCTTTTATGTTCCCAATAGAAAATGTTAAAGAATTCTCTCATTCATTTGTTCTCAAATGCTTGGATCATTATCTCTGTTTCTGCCAACAGTGTCCATGTTTCACATCCATATAGGAGAATGAAGACTACCAGCGATTTGTACAATCTGTACTTCGTTTGAAAGTTGATTTTTCTCCTCCATATTCTTGCCAATTTGGCCATGGCTGCAGCAATCCGTGTGTGGATTTCCAAGTTGCAGGTACCATCTTTGGACAAGATTGCTCCCAAGTATTTAAAACTGGAATTCCCATTCATTAATTTTGATACAGATGTCACTATTTGTATTATTGACCATTACTTTGGACTCCTCAGAGCTGACCCCTATTCCATATGCTCTTGCTCTTTAAAAAAGTTTATTGGTCAAGTCCTGGAGCTCACTGTTACTACCTGCTATTGGGTCAATGTCATTTGCAAAATGTAAGTTACAGATGAGTCTACCACAGATAGAGATTGAAAAATCATGGTTGTTCAGGGTTTCTTGCATGATTCTCTCTAGAAATAGGTTGAACAATGTCAGTGAAAGTATGCATCCCTGTCTCACACCGTCCTGAAGAATCCTCCCATTTGTTTTCCCAGAACTGCTGCGCTGGTGGTATCATTATATAGGACCTAGATGGGTTGGATAATTCCGTTATCTATGTTGAATTCCCTAAGGATTTACCAAAAACCATTATGCCATATACAATCAAATGAGTTTGTATGGAAAAAAGGTTGAAAGTTTTGAGGGCCACCAGGAACCTCTTCTTGCTTCTGTCAAACGGAGAAAAATGGCATGGTTTGGACATGTTACAGGGTATGACAGCCTGTACAAGACCATCATGCAAGGCACCATTGAAGGTGGACATAGAAGAGGATGCCAACTGGTTGGACAATGTCAAACAATGAACAGGTATTACTATACCAGAATTGCGGATGACTGCTGTTGATTGTTGTGGAGGAGATTCATTGTGGCTTCTGCATTTGGATCTGCCCTACGATTACAAAAGTCAAGAGGAGGATGATTTATGCTTTTGTTAAAATTTTTCCATGTTATTTTTGTGTGTTTTTTTTTCTGGGGGTGGGGGTCCTGATAACTAAAAATGAAGATGTGGGCATTTTCAATATGAGTCATGGTAATAAAGTTACTGGCCTGAAAAGGTGTTAAAATTTTTTCCACATAACAAAAATGTTGGTTTTGAAAAAACTTAATTTTTTTTTTTTCTATTCCAATATTGTTTCAGGTAAAAGCAATTCTTGTAAATATTTTTGGTGGAATTGTCAATTGTGCGACAATTGCAAATGGAATAACAAATGCTTGTAAAAATATCAACCTTAACCTGCCACTTGTTGTCCGCTTGGAAGGTAAGTTCTTCAATTCTCTCTCTCTCCCCCTTTCTTTACTTCTTATGAAGAATTTTCTTTGCATTTCTGATGCCACAGTAAAAAACAGAAATAAATAGAATAGTTAACTCTGTAGGTAGCTGAAATATTTTATTCTTAAGGAAAAAATATTTGTAAAGCTTAAACCAGAGTATTGCATTGGTTTAATTCAAGATTTCTGGATTTGTGACACTCACTATGTCCAACCAGCCAAGAAGGAAATGCTTTTTATAGCTAATTGTAAAATACTCATTATTTCTGATACATGGTGATATCACGGCTATGTCTAGGTTGGACTGGCTTGGGCCTGGACCAGCTATAACAAGCCAAGACCAGGTTAGACCAGTGGACCGAGTAGAAACACTTGGGTTCCCCATGTTAAAACCGACCTTGTGTCACATCCTGACACAGTGGTGTGTCAAGTAAATATTTATATTTACAGGTTTATAGAATTTGTATAATATTTACTCTGAGGATTTCCTTATTATTTCTGACGATATTGACAATGTCATCAAGATTTTTATCCCAACTTTTTATTTCTCTTACAAAATCTGTAATTATATCTTATGCTGCAATCATTCTCATATTCATTTCTGTTCTGATACAAATCATGAACATTATTTTTATATACCATTTTTTTAATCAGATATTAAACTAATACTTGTTATAAATTTTCCATATGAAACGATTTTTGAAACAGAAAAACTATCAATAATTCACTTGCATTTTGGTTATTTCTCAATTCTTTTCACAATCAAGTTTATTAAAACATATTTACATTATTATTTTGATCTTCATTTTATTTGCAAGCCGTTACGTAATCTCGATTATTTCCCTTGTAACTTTCCCCAATCAAATGTTTTACAGTCATTAAATGATTTTGCTTTGCAAGAAATCTTATAAAATGGTCCACAAACTTGAACAGATTTATTGTAGAATATTTTATTTGATCTTTGTAGGTACAAATGTGGAGGAAGCAAAACGTATTCTGAAAGAAAGTAATTTACCCATTCTTTCTGCTGTGGATTTGGATGACGCAGCTCAAAAAGCTGTTCAATCTTTGTCTGCATGAGTCAAAGGTCAACTTTCATCTGCAGTGGAAGGTGTTGATTATGAAGCAGACAATGCCTTATTAACATTTCGCTTGTAGCAGATATACCTTTTTTTTTCTGTGCCATTTTGATTCATTGACACAAAATTTGAAAATAAAAAGAAGATTAGTATAGTTTTATAGTTTTTCATTAAAGAAGAAAAAGTGGGGTTAAAACCAAGTTTTTGAAATATTTTGAAGAGGTCCAAATTACAAATGAAAACAAATTTTTCTGATTTGAAAGAGAACAATAATTGAATGATTAATTATTGTTGTTTTTGTTCTGGCTCCCTTGCATTGACTTTCTATTAAGGCAGCATTTTCTTGGAATTTAAACAGAAGAAACCACTTGCAATGAACCATATTGGAAAATAATTTGAATTTTCAGAATTAAGGACAACTGCACAAAGGTACACATTTTATATGTGATATATGTTTGATTTCAGGGGATGATTTTTTTTCCAACACAATCTTTGGGCTGGATTGGAGTTGGCTTTTTTTTTTTAATCAGTTGTAAATGTTTTAAATAATCATATGACCTACAACACAGTTATTAAGTATCTAGTTTTATCAAGTACTGTGTACTTAAGATAAATCCTGTTACTGAATGATAATTAATAAAAACATTTTTGGTTGATTAAATTTTTACTAAATTTCTTGCTTTGACAATATTTTATGAATAATGATTGAAAAAGTGTTAAAACCAAATTATAATTAATATAGGACTGTTTAATTGTCAGAATAAATAAATTTATCTTTCTCATCAAATGGAACAATTCTTTTATAAATGTTTGCAAAGATTTCTATTATTTATTTTTATAATAAATTGAAATTGTTTAAATGTTTACCATTTATAACCATTTAATGGTGCTGCATCTTTGTCTGATAAGAAATATGGATAAGTTTGATAATCTATTTTATTACCTCAAGCAAGCAAAATGGAAAACACAATTCATATTGAAGACTGTCTCTCTTTACACTCTTGTCTGATTCACTTGTGATAAATATTTTGAAATCATTTTTAATGCTCAACTCTAAATTTATGGATTTTTAAGAAGTTGAGATAAATTCAGGTTGTGAATGAACTTCTATAGAAAAAAGAAACATGAATTAATTCTATGGATTCAATTTTTGTCTTTCTAACATTATTTTTGTCTCTTGTGGATTAGGAAGGAATAAAATTTTCCCAAAATTGAAGATTTTTTTCATTAATATTACAAATTTCCATCACTTGTGCCTAACTAATTGAACTATTTTTGTTTAGAAAAATTTAAACAATTTTTACAAATAAAGAAAAACTACAAACTGGAAAGCATTTTTGTAGGAATTTCTAGATGAAATTGATTTCATCATTTCTTTTTTTTTTTGGTTTTTCATTTATTTTGAAATTTTAAAATTTATTTTGATAAATTCTAATCACTTCACTCACAGCTGTTTAAAATTTATTTATTTAATAAATTTCTAAGTTTTTGAATATGCTGATGTGTTCCTCTTTTATCACTTAAAAATCATTTTTAGAATATCTTGCAATATATTTATATTCTTTTCTAACCTGTTTTGCTTTTTGTTGTTTTTTTTTTCAACTGTGAAAGTAACAATTAGCCAAAAAAAAAAAATGGTTGTATTTCTGTGACAAACAATTTCAGAATGTTTGTTCAGAAGAAAAAGGCTTTAATTTAAAATATTCTTTCCGTTAAACTCTACAGATTCTAGAGATGTTGAATTTTTTTTTTTATTTAAATCAGATTTAAAAAAAAAAAATTCCATTTTATTTTCTCAAAGAAAACGAAGAGCAAATCTGATACAAATAGCTTGAGTGATTAAGACAAGTAGGATAATTTAGGATAATTTAGGGTTGCCAAATTAATTTTTGGTTTTATCTGGCTGACTTTTTCCCAATTTAGTCAATAGAAATTTACATTTAATTTTTACTATTTTTTAAAGTTTTGGGTGCATCTACATCCAACTCACAATTTTGTTTATTTTGGGTGGGGTGTTCAGATGAACTCATACAACTATTTTATTCTTAAAGCATTTTAAAATAACTTAACAGATTGACATGACGATCATCAGCTATGGAGGATTGATTTGTACCTAAATAATCTTGCAATTTTTTTTTTTTTTTTAATAGTTTTCTAACAATACTGCCAGTCAGTGTTGCATTTTAGATTTAGATCTGTGTTTTTCAATTTCTGTCTGTGTTGTTTTTTAACTTTGAAATTTGAAAGTGTGTTAATCAGTGATATACTTTTGCAGTTAAGCAACACTTGTCCACATTAGCCTCATCTTCTGCCATTAAATGAGTTTTTCTGGTGCATTCCAAACTGAGAAACCATCTTTGTACAGATAAAGCAGCAAAACTGGTCTTTCTATTTAAATCCATAAATGCAAACACTGCTTGTGTTGAATTTTTAAAATATGTTAATTGTTAAAATTTTATTTTATAGTAAAAAAAAACATTATTCAGTTGCTGAATAAATATTTGATTGAATATGTTTAGCACTTTTCTTCCTTCATGGAATTATATGAATACAACAAATAGCTTTTCTTTCTTTAAGGATTTTTGTAAAAGTGATTTAAATTTTTTTTTTTTTTTTTTTTTTTTTAATCATTTGATTTAAATTGTGATTACTACAAAATCATATTTTCTATTTGACAAGAAACTTGCTTGGAATTTCAGCTAAAATCAGTTTTGCTTTAAGTGTACAACTTAATAGTAAAATTAAATTTGATTTTTTTAATTGTCCCACCATGTCCATTGATGATCATGAAATGGTAATAAATATTCTTAAACCAAACATCTGCAAGCCAAATGATACTGATAAATATACTATTAACTATTTAATACATAGAGAAAGATTGGTATTTCCTCATAAGCTCCCCTGAAAATTTAATCACTTTGTGCTTGATTTCTTGTTAAAAAAAAAAAAAAATACCAAATCACTTAAAAATAAGATTGGTAAGCAAATAATGTGCTGAGGATATTTTTGCTAAAGTGGAATCAAAGTGTAAATGTTTTACTGCTGCATTTCTTTGTATAATTAAAGGACATTAAAATCATGAAAAGTTTATCAGAATTATTGGAGATAAATATGCATGAAAAAGAGTTTCATTGTTTTTATTGGAACTGTTGAGCATCAGAAGAAATTGGGTTGAGATCTTTTGCTGAAAGACCATTTCTATTGATATTTAAATCTACACCGTGTTTCAATAAATTAAAAAAAAACCTAAAGTTTTTATATTCATAAATATAAATTTATTTTCCTTTTTAATGTTTTTTTTTTAAAAGAAAATTGTTTTATACTCTGACTTTCTCAAAAAGAATATTTAAATTTGACAAACAAAAGTAAATCAAAATAATTAATAGATTGAATTCAATAAGCATGGGTTTAATATGGTCAGTGCATTACTTTTAATTTTGTTATATTTCAAATAATTTAATGAACTGCAAAATGATTATTTGATTTTTGAATTCTTGCTTTTTGACTTATAATTAATTTTATCAAAATGAATGGTGCATTCTAAAGTATTTCTAAACTATATGGATTTTTAAGTGTTTGAAATATTGGTTGATATTTAAACAATTGCAGTTTCATAAATTTAATGATAAAATAACTCCATTAAAAAAAAATAAAAATCTCAATTGGGAATTTATTGATCAAATTTTTTTTTTTTTTTTTTTGTTCAACAAATTTTTTTTCTTATTCACTTATGAACACAAACATCAAAAATACATTTTGACCAAGTGATATTTATTGCCACCTCCAAATATTACCCCAAATCTAACAAATTTAGTTATGCTATAAATGCCTTTTTTTATAATTAGTAGTGGGCATAAACACATACACATATTTCTTTATTTGTTAGAAGCTTGCGCATACACAAGTTTGACATATGCTCTATCTAACTCGATGTACTTTAAAAAAGAATCACTTCTCACATTGAATTTCACAATTCCTCTCATACAAATCACTGGTGAGTTAATGTAAAATTTATTTTTTTTACATTGTCAAAAATATTGTAATTATAAATGTAATAGCATTTAAGCTGACAAAATTCTTAATTAAAATATTTTATTTTTTACTAGTTTTTATTTTGATAAGCCATATCAATCAGAAATTAGAAAAGTTACCCTCCCTGTCAAACATGTTCCCAGATTATAAGTTCAAGTTTTATAACTAGTGTTGTACAATCAGTTCAAAAACCCTTTTTGCTTGACATACTCATCATTTTATACTCAAATTAAACATGTATATTTATTGAAATTATGCAACATAGATTACCAACATGATGTATTTGTCACACATAGCAGTGAATGTTGCTATCAAATTCCTAAAGCTGTACAACAAGAATCGAATTTCATTCCCTTGTTGGTTTATATTTTCCACCTATTGGGGAAATTTGATGCAGAAAAGTTTCTTGTTAGTTTGACACTAAACTATTTTTCATTCAGATTGTTGCTATGGAAACTTTTAGAAATAAGCAACATTGGTCACTTTGTACCGAACAGGTTTACAAAGAAATGCATGGTTCAGATTCAAAATTGACTTAAATTAATGACTACAAAGTTAATTTTTGATCACAATACTTCAGATAAATGAATGCCATTGTATATAATGTAGATCAGTTTAGTGATCATAGGTTGTGGGAGTTTGAGAAGAATTATGACAATTTTACTCTCATCTGGTGTTCTATCTACAATCGAAGGGCATATATGAAGCTCACTGAAATGGCTGAAAAGAAGTATCTGGTAAATTACATTTACTGTGTCTGTAAATGGCATGTAAACCTAGGAGAGATCACAAATTTTTATGTATTTAAATTCTTTTCACATCTTTGATAACTTACCTGAGGTTTAGAAGAAAGGTGACTGGAAAACTTTGTGCCTCTGAAGTTCTAAAGGAACATCACTTTCCTGTTTCATGTTTCCAAATCCTGAATACAAAACTGTTTACTGATATTGGCTTAAAGGCTATCATGCC